GTTTTTATAAAATAAAAGCCGATATTTTAATATTTACTTTTCAAAAGGAACCTTCCAAAAATCCACCTAATGACATCATCTTAAGTCATCCAAAATAATGATGACAGCCGCCAATTTCCAAAATCAAGAATTTTTTAGTGGGTTTCAGACTCTTCTTAAATACTTTAAAACCTTGAGACACATGCCCCCAAAACAGATTGCATGCACCAAGAATGACAGCAATGATGGGGAGGGGTCTCAAACTCATCATTTTCAAGAATTTAAACTCCAGCTTGAGTCATCATCTTCGAAGAAACTCCAGAAAAATATTTTCCGATTTCATCGAGTTTTAAAGATAACAATTCTGATTAAAGATGCATGCAAGATCCTACCATACGAATAATATGATCAGACCTCACATGCAAGGATTCTCGCGTACTTTCTTAGATATTAAAGAACATGGATCACAAATTATCATCCTATCGAAGGCATTTGCAGGTCTTTGATGAACAATCTCCCCTCTTTAAATCCCATAAAATTTACTAAAGAATCGAGTAGGTGAAGGAGAATGTAAACTTTTGAATTTTTAAGAGAATAGGAGAGCTCAACTCATACATTTTCTTAGAATCTTGAACAATCCTTAAGAGTAACAGAATCCTTTAAGACTTGCGAGAAGATAGAATCGGCTGGAAGGTGGTCGAGTTTAGAGGGAGATGACAGGTTAAGTTGGGAGTTGGAAATGAGAGTTTTCAAAGGAAGAGGGGTATTTATATGAAGGCTCTTTAGAGAAGAAATGGGCTGGCCTCTAAAGGCCCAAGCCCAAAATATTTTTATTTTTCTAAATAATAAAACCCCTCTATAAATTATTTAAACAAAACAACTAAATAAAAGATTTCGAAACTCCACCATTTAATTACATATTTGGCCAATAAAATGGGACTTTGGAAATTTTAAAATTTTAAAATAGAAAACTTAAAATATCAATTTTATTTTATTTGGAGGGTTTCAAGACTATTTGGCATTGCACAAGTTAACTTTGTCAGTTANTTTATTTTATTTGGAGGGTTTCAAGACTATTTGGCATTGCACAAGTTAACTTTGTCAGTTATCCGCCGAAACGTGATCTTCCGAACTAATCTTGGGAATTAAGCAACACGATCTCTAATCATCATAGCTAAATCCTAGAAAGACTTAATTCTCAATAAAGATCCTAAAATAAGGTACTAACCTGAAATCCCGAAATGACGGATTGTCACAGTCTGCCCAAGCTAGAAAAATTTCGTCTCGAAATTTATGCGTCAAAGTCAGATCATGACTTGGTCGAGAATAAGTGGGGATACTTGCTTTCTGTTTGCCCATCCGTCTGAGGAAGATAGGAAGTGCTCAAGTCCAGCCTTGTGCCTAGTGCCCTTTGGACTGATTGCCATAACCGTGAAGTAAGACGTCTATCTCTATCTGATATGATAGAAATAGGCACTCCATGTCGCGATACAATTTCATTGATGTATATCTGCGCAAGCCTTTCCGTACTAAAGTCTTCCCAAATGGGTAGGAAATGTGCAGATTTCGTAAGTCGGTCCACAATGACCATATTGAGTCGTATCCCTTCCTATTCCTGGGTAACTTAGTAATGAATTCCATTGATATCAGATCCTACTTCCATTGGGGAATCTCTGGTTGCTGGAGTAGACCAGACGGTTTTTGGTGTTTTGTCTTGACCAATGCACAGGTTAAGCACTTACTCACACATAAGGTAATATCTCTCTTCATGCCAGACCATCATTAGTGATTCCTAAGACCCTTATACATCTTATCTACTCCCTGGTGATTGGGTATCTTGATCTATGGGCTTCATCCAAAATTATTGATCTAAGATTACCAACCTTAGGTATCCAAACCTTATTTCCCCAAATAATCCAATCCATCTTGCGGAATTCGGATAATCGTTCTGAACACCCTATCTCAACTCGATATTTGGATAGCTAATCCATACCTACAACTACGTCAAAACTTCCTTCAACTTTTATGACTTAAAACTATTCTTTGGTCTAAATTCTAGAGACACGAAGCTTCTAACTGCTCCAGAATCAAATAATACAGATGCATAGCGAGTGTTCAGGAGAAACGTACCTGTGACTACGTTTGAGTCTTGTCGGGCTTCTTTTATCCCAATCTCAAACGCTCGACCTCATGCTTGATCTCCTTGATTTCCTTGGTAGACTGGTCGAGTTGGGTTAGCAAGTGGCCCTCGGTTGAGCCTTGRGCATGCGTTCCTGATGTGATTTGGACTTCCACAATCGAAGCACAATCATTTCCGGCAATCCTTTGCTGTGTGACCCCTAGATGGCATCTTTGACAAATGATGCAATTCCCCTGATGTGGATATTTGCAGCTATTG